ACTCAGGCTCATGATGAAGACATGATGAAGACTCAGGCTCATGATGAAGACATGATGAAGACTCAGACTCATGGTGAATACATGATGAAGACTCAGGCTCATGATGAAGACTCAGACTCCTGATGAAGACTCAGGCTCCTGATGAAGACTCAGACTCATGATGAAGACTCAGGCTCATGAGGAAGACTCAGACTCATGATGAAGACTCAGGCTCATGATGAAGACTCAGGCTCATGATGAAGACATGATGAAGTCTCAGGCTCATGATGAAGACTCAGGCTCATGATGAAGACATGATGAAGACTCAGGCTCATGATGAAGACTCAGACTCCTGATGAAGACTCAGGCTCCTGATGAAGACTCAGGCTCATGATGAAGACGCAGACTCCTGATGAAGACTCAGACTCCTGATGAAGACTCAGGCTCATGGTGAAGAGTCAGACTCCTGATGAAGACTCAGGCTCCTGATGCAGACTCAGGCTCCTGATGAAGACTCAGGCTCCTGATGAAGACTCAGACTCCTGATGAAGACTCAGACTCCTGATGAAGACTCAGACTCCTGATGAAGACTCAGACTCCTGATGAAGACTCAGGCTCCTGATGAAGACTCAGGCTTCTGATGAAGACTCAGACTCCTGATGAAGACTCAGGCTCCTGATGAAGACTCAGGCTCCTGATGAAGACTCAGACTCCTGATGAAGACTCAGGCTCCTGATGAAGACTCAGACTCATGATGAAGACTCAGGCTCCTGATGAAGACTCAGGCTCCTGATGAAGACTCAGACTCCTGATGAAGACTCAGGCTCCTGATGAAGACTCAGACTCATGATGAAGAGTCAGGCTCCTGATGAAGACTCAGGCTCATGATGAAGAATCAGGCTCATGATGAAGACTCAGACTCCTGATGAAGACTCAGGCTCATGATCAAGACTCAGGCTCATGATGAAGACTCAGGCTCATGATGAAGACTCAGGCTCATGATCAAGACTCAGACTCCTGATGAAGACTCAGGCTCATGATGAAGACTCAGGCTCATGATGAAGACTCAGACTCCTGATGAAGACTCAGGCTCCTGATGAAGACTCAGGCTCATGATGAAGACATGATGAAGCTCTTGGCGCAATCCTTGTCGTTCACAACAGTCCTGAAGCCAACAAAGGAAAGGTTGAAAATGTTGTCGGTAGAAACCTGAACCGGGGAGGAAGCTATCGATGAAAACGTTGTCGTCAGATATATCCAGGTGCAGCCAAGTTTAGGGTTTGCTTACTAGCTTTTTTTGTATTTTTCAACCACCTTTTACAGCATTCATCAGTTTGCTAACTCAGACATTGCTAAATCAACAGACCACCTGAAGCATCCTATAGTACAGGATCCCATATACTGTTGTAGTCAGATTTAATCCAGTTAATGTTCTGCCATGTGAGATGTGATGTGATTTAATATAATGTAGTAAAATATAATCAATGTATTCAGTTTATTATCTCATTTTCAAAGTAGAAACTGTGTGTGTAACAAGGAGTTTTAAAAATAAATTGGTCTTTGAAACTTCAGAGGTAAGTGTTTCAAAAGTTAGGCTAAGTCTTTAAAATAACGTAACATTTGACACCATAGAAAACATTAGAACAAGGATATGTGGGCCACAGCACAACCAATGTCTCTTTCCCCCTTGGGAGTCCAAGTTTTTGGCAAGTTAAACTTAACTGCAGCAAGTTTTTATTGCCTTGTTTTTACCTGTGAAGATCCCTATACCTACTCAACTATTCTGAACCTAAGATGTTGGTGGGGAGGTCCTGTTTTCTTTTTGCCAATGCTGGGTCTTTTTTCCTCCAACAATAAGTTATTAAAATATATTTTACATCATCTTACTCCCTTGTGATATTTCCCAGGTGATGGCCAACGATGTGTGATTGTGTGTTTAATGTTCATGGGAGCCTGCCTGCAGGCGCCAGTCTCAGGACACCTACACTCTGAGGACACCTCCACTCTCAGGACAGGAAGTGCATGCACGCTAAGAATTACAAAATAAAATCGCCACTATCAGTACAGCGCCACTTTCCGAACAGGAAATGCACCCTAATACAAAATAAAATCGCACTGACACTTATTATCTATATAGATATATATTTATTTATATATATAAATAACAACATCTTGTATTTTAGTGACACCCGCTAGACAACAGTGGAGGGTTCGAGAAACAACCGTGTTTGCCGGGTGCACCACGGCGGAGGTGGGGAGGTTCCAGCCGGGAACCTCCACCCCGCTGCGGGACCCGTGGTGGGACCCCTGAGTCCTGAGACGGTGCGTCTTGGTATACTGAGCCCAGACTGAGCTGTGTGAGGCTGCGCACTAAACAACCACAGCCTCTCTCTCTCACTAAGAACTGTTCATGGCTCTCATCAACACAGAGCCCAGAATTACATAAAAAAATTATGAATGAGTCAATCTTTGATTTACTCCCAGTGTTGGGCAAGTTACTTACAAAATGTAATACAGTACATATTTTTTGAGTAATAAGTTGAATTACAATATTACTGTCTCTGAAATGTGATGAGTTACAGTACTTTTATATTACTTTTGAGTTACTTACCAAAATAACCGCAAAAGAATGGCTAGGCATTTTAAATGCTAAAATGTAGTTTAGTGCAGCTCATTATACATCCAGTGAAGGGCAATGTGGTATAGCATAACAACTGTGTAGGCCCTTAAGGCTACTAACAACTTGTATTACACGGCTTAGTTGAATACTCGATTCTGATTGTAAATTCTTAACATGTGACACGTCAACACATCCTCACTCCCAGGTCGGCCTATGTTGACGTTATGTCAAGTCCCCTGTGTCGGCTTTTTCCAACGCAAGGGGGGGTCCTTAGCGTACATTTTCAACTTTCCGGGATGTCCATAATTCTCTATATAGCTCCCTAAACGTATGTTGTAGACGACTTGAGATTGCGAGCGAATGCTACCCGCAGATCCATTCTCACAGCGTTTATCAACCTTTTTCTTACTCAATATCAAGCCACACTTATTGTTTTTACTTCTTCATTTTAATTGAATAATGTAGGACTTTTGTTGCCGTCAGTTATGGGGAGAGTAGGGGCTCAGAATACTGAAATCTGTATCTGTATCTGTATTAATGGACGTGCCGTTGTGCGATTAAGTGATTGCGCAATAATTTATAAACTCTTCAACGACAACCCTAATTATATTTTAAAACATTTTAGAAGGCCTCACGAAATACTTTAATGTAAATTAAAATGTAAATGTGAAGGGATGTCTGTAATGTGGTGATTGACATTATTCACCCACGGATCTATGGGTAGCTGGGGATTCTGGGTAGTGTAGTGTCTTCTGCCATCCTTTACTCAGAAAAAATATTTGTTTCTCCGAATCGAAGGGGAAAAATACAAAAGCATCGCGCACAATTTAAACCAATCAATGTTGTGTAATTAACAAGGATAATCTGGTGTTTTTTAGTCGATGAGTAGTGCAGATATCACTGTAAAATCAATCGACAGTAAGAGGAATACTTACTTCCGGGTGTACAATTCTCCGTTATCCAATGGGAACGGACGCTCACATTGCCTTTAAGGGCAGCCGACACAAACGAATGCCGTGCTTCCATGAGCGTCAAATCCCGCCGCAGATGGGAATACATTGCAATCAGTTGAAAGCTATTTGCGTCCCTTTATGACGCTGAAGGAGCCTAGGAGCGTCACAACTGGACGCCACGGACACTGACCAAACGTCGCTCCTGGACACTTAGGGAGTGAGAGTGTGTTGCTATAGAGGACTATGGACATCCCGGAAAGTTGAAAATGTACGCTAAGGGCCCCACCCTTGCGTTGGAAAAAGCCGACACAGGGGACTTGACATAACGTCAACATAGGCCGACCTGGGAGTGAGGATGTGTTGGACACGTTGTTAATACAGTACAGACCACTATCAAGGACTATAATGAAGGTTGCTAAGGAGGATCAAGAAAGAGAAAGGAAAAGAGGTTAAAAGACGGAGCACTGGACGTCAGATAAATCACCAGAAGAAGGCAGAGAGGAAGTAAACACTAACAGGACACGGAAGGCTCTGTAGTGTGTTTAGTATATGGCTGTGTAATAAGCGGGATAATGTGCAGCGAGGCGGTCATTATGGGGAAAAGAACAACCGACAGGCTGATCAGGGAACCCGACGCGAAGCGGAGGGATCTTGATCAGCCTGAAGGGTAAACACCAGGCTTACTAATCTACCCGCAACATTTTGTATCTGGTGTCGGAATGTCTCGCGATGTTAGTGAATTGTTATAAAACAAAACACCATTTAATTTCGGGTTAAAATGTGTTGTAACTGTGTTGTAACTGTATTACTGAGAATTGTAACGGGTAGTATATTACCCAAATATCATTAGTAATGCGTTACATTACTTCGTTGCAGCAAAAAGTAATACATCACTGTAACTCCGTTACTTTTGTAACACTGCTCCTAAACTGTCAAAAGGGGGACGTCCCAGGTTTCAAGTAACAAGTAACATGTAATGTTTCACCCATTTGCGTGGATTTTGAAGTTAATTACTTTATACTCATGGCTGTAATAACGTTTTGAAAATGTGGCTTTTTAAAGGAAGGTGGGCTGCAGTCGCTACTTCAGCATTGCAAAGGCAACTATGGTAATGTACAGATTGTTCAGTTCCTGTATGGCCTAGATCACGAACAACCTTTCACATCTTGAGTCCTTCCTTATACATCTGCTGTTGACATGACTTGCCGTGAATTGGGGAAAACCATATTGTTCATTATTTTATAAAGTACATTTCCTCCAGGTATCATGATTTTCTCTGTAGAAACTTGAAGGCTGGATGTGCTTCGGTGTGGACTAACTTTCAAATTTGTGCAAATACTAAATGATGATTTCTAGGTCTGGAAGTACAGTCATGTAAGGGTTCAGTGTGTTCGTACTCATGATGAACTTTTGCTCAGATATCACGATATAACGTTTTTTTCTTTCAGGATCACCACGACAGCTGCCTGCATGATGGACCTGCGCAGATACCCACTGGATGAGCAGAACTGCACCTTGGAGATTGAAAGCTGTAAGTGGCTCTGGCTTTGTTTGTGTCTCTTTTACACCTTTACTTTATTTACTGTGTTTTGGTCATCGTGCATCATCAGGCTTCGTAGACCAACAGAGGAAAGTCAAATTGACAGGAGGTCCTGTTGCACTTTAACAAATTGTGTATGTATATTTTGTGGTGTCAAAAAAATAAATGACTGTGCACACAATACAGTTAGTCCAGGCTGTAAGTTGACCACATCTGGAAGGACAAGTAAATAAAGAACTATAGTCTTGAACTTGACTTGAAACCAATCAAATCAACTTTTGATTGTCCGATATGTACACTAAAGCGTACACATTAAAATGTAAACACTGCATCCCATAGTACATAGCTCCTATATTATTAGGAGCAGGGCACAGTGACTATACAGCGCCAGGGGAGCACAGGCAATTGGCTGTTTGGGGACTTGAACCCACGACCCTCCAGTCCCCAAGACAAATCCAGAGGGGCTGAGCTTCTGCACCGAATGAATGGTTGCTGCATCTAGTGACGTCAGGGGGGTATTTGTTATATGTTGTTCAAGCAAGTTCACAACCAATACATCCAGGTGGCTGTTTTAACTCAAAATATGTCTGAAAATACAAATTACAGAAATATGAACCCTCCTAAAAGTGATGATAGTACAACTAATACTTGTTTTTTGTGTATGCACTTTCAAAAGTTATGTTAATGCATGACACTTTAGGTTGCCCTGCAAATAAATGTATGCATATTAAATATGGAACATGATGTTTTTACTCAGGGGTTCCCGTTTCTCTCTCCGATCCTTCCCTTCGCCTCAAATACATTGAAGTTAACACACTGTTATTTACTCAACAATAACACAAAAGTATCCTTGTTTTTATTTATTTGTTTAATTATATAATGTCGGGCTTTTTTGCCGTCCGTCAGGAACTGATTTTCAAAATAATGTCATTAATAATATTATTTCAGTCAGACAACTCACGTTTTTCTTTAATATGTTTATTAGAAGCAGCATATAATTGAGTTTGGCATCTAGGCTCGGGCCTCATCACTCCACAGATATACATAGCACGATGAGTGATGATTAAATAACTAACCCCCCGAGCCTACAGGTGGAAGCTGGGGTGGTGGTGGGGCAGGCAAGCAGCAGCGACGTGGAAGTAGCTGCAGCAATAGCAGCAGCAAGCAATGCATGGAGAGAGATCTGGCAGGTTAAATAGAGCGGCATATTAAGGAGACTCTGTGTGGTTGGTTGTAGAGTGGCAAGGGGCGTTATGTGTGAATGCAGCACAAGTGCTTGAGTTGACGGCCTGAACTAGCTCGCAGGCTTCGCCCCATGTATGAAATTATTTTGTCTATTAACTAGAGCGCAGGGTCATGTTATGACCGTCTTTTCTATGTTGCTGTGGGGTTTTTCCATCGGTTTGGGGTTTAAAATATACAAACAGTAATAAGCCAAGAAGTAATAAGCCTTATCAACCGTAACTATAAACAGAATTGCGTTGCCAGGCAACAGCTTGGGGTGAAAAAAGTATTTCCGGTCTCAAAGTTTTCATAGTAAAACCAAAAGTATTCCCCTCACTGTCAAATGATTTTACAATGATATCTGCAGTGCTCATCAACTTAAAACATCAGTTTATTCTTACACAACATTGATTGGTTTAAATTGTGTACAATGCTTTTGTGTTTTTCCCCTTCGATTCGGAGAAACAAATCGTTTTTTTCGGAGTTTACTGCCCATAATCCTCAGCTATCGTTTGGGACTACACCAGTCCCTTTGCTTAACAAAACCCCGTGATTAGTCCTCAAGCTCTGTGATTGGATATTCGAGTGGCAGTGCGCCAAGGTTACGGCGATCGTCAAACAGCACTTTGAAATGGAATGAAGCCACGGCAGACTATCCAAAATAGGATTTGAATGAGTCCTCCACCCCCCCCAGAACTACACATGCTGGCCAGAGCCCTGATGCTGGCTATTTGTGTGTTTCGCAACATGTTCTATGGCACGTCTCTACTGGGAATTGTAGTTTTAAAAGACGCTTTCGTATTTCCCACAATTAGAAGTTGCCAGTATTAAACTGTGTACACCCCTGGAGGTTTAGGGGATACGAAACACAGTGGTGTTATCACATTTAAAACATATCATTAATAAATGGGTGAAAATTGCTTGTGCCCATAATGGGCAGCATTAATATATACCCACATGACAGCTAAGGTCAGAAGAGCTTTATTTAATAGCTGGTCTTATGTCTGTGACCCTCCTGTTGTTAATTGATAAGCCTGAAACATGCACTTGTCAAGGTTCAGAGGCACATTTTGCAAATATGGCAGTAGCCATCGATCATCTTAAGATAAGATATACTTTAATGATCCCAAGTAATACACGGCAGCATGTAAAACATGCAATGTATTGTTACTTTGTTCTACTCCACTACAATTCAGAGGTTAACCTGGTATTTTTACTCCACTACATTTATTTGAGTTACTTTGCAGATTCTGATTAATGATGTGAAATATAAACAACCCTTAAATCAGACTTTAGTTACACCTGAGTAAAATTCAGGGAAGGTGATTGTCACGTGCCAACAATCAGGAGAGATATTTGATAGTTGGTGCTTGAGAAGACTAAACATTTATCTGCAGATCTCTATAAAGTATATTCATTACTCGTTATTCTCTACTAATAGTTCATTAAAGACTGTATATAATTGTTATTTTGCACATCCCTTTCAAGATTTCAAAATGTTCTAAGGTTTATTGACATATCATATACACAACTACAGTGTAGTTATGCAATGAATGAAACACTTGGGTCACAGGTTCCTCAACAGTGCATTACAAGACATCTATCTATATGTGTGTACATCCACCATTAAACTGTCATATTCTGCACATTTCTTATTCTATCTATATACATCAGAGTATAATTCATATGTATAATATCAGTTAAAATAAGTGCTTCAACATAGTTAACATTGCAGGAAAGCAATATATTAGACGTTAAGTACTTTGTCAGGCTTAATATTTATCTGTAGATACCCCCAAAGCTTTTTTCTAATTCAAAAGAAGACCTTAACCTAAAGTATTCTTTAATGTGTTAATAAAGGTTAATTTGTTGTTCTGTTTTGCACATCCTCATATTAATATCTTTGTACATCCTGCACTAAACTGTTTTATTGTAGAGATCACTTACAGTATCTTCTTGATGTTTTCTATTCTATATTTCTATAATTGACCTTCTACTTTCCCCCTATTTAGTATGTACTCTTAATGTTTTTTTCATCCAATATAACATATTCAACAACACGATTCAATAACGTGCTTTAACCACTAGGCGGTGCGGGTTAAAAAACGGTCAAGTTTAAGTGTTAACACAATAAATTATACTTTCCAGAATAAGTTTCCAGTTTAGTTCATGACGGATATATTTTGTCATCCACATATATATTTTCTTGATATTTGTAACACCAAACTGACATAAAAGATGGTCTTAACATGACCCAGTGGTCTAGTTAATAAAACATAATAATATCAAACATAATATTACTATTAACTTTATTGTGAAATTAAAACAGAACGGTAAAGAAAAATACAGTTTCAGGTGTCCGTGTGAGACACAATCTCTCTCGATTTGAAGCTTATGCATTGTACCATGAACTGATGAGGAGTTGGAAAGGCAGTTTCTGAAGGTGTTAGAAATAAGGTACACACAGCATACAATGCCATAATAACTTGTTATTATTAGTGTAGGTCATGTTTGTATAACATCTGAAGATGTGTAGTTTTATTCATGTTTTCACATAATTTTACAGGATATTGCTATACTATTTCACATGTTTTACTTCTACACATTAATATCTGATTTGTAAAAAATCACAGACAGAAACGTATATCCGTCATTTAACGGTAAGCTATTGAAATTATGATTCCATAGATGTGTCTCCCATCACCAAAAACCCCTGACTATTCTCTCAACTCAGTATTTACATTATTATATTCAAAGAAAATTAGTATCCATAAAAACCATATCCCAACGTGAATTGCGGCTAAAACATCCAATCACCAAGCTTCAACCATAGCTGAGAATCTTGGGTAATCAGTTCAGTGGGTGTGTATCACAATGACGCTCGAAATGTCCCATAGAGTGGCGAAGTCAGGCCCATCTACTTCCGGTCCATGGGACCTTATTTCGGAAAAATTATGTATTGAAGTCAATGGAGAGAGAAAACGTATCTTTCAATCCCGTTTGAATTGTGCCACAAATTACACATATGATGTTTGTCAATCTTAAAAAATCATTTCCATGTCAAAAAGGTCACAGTTTGTCGTAAAACTGTTGAAATATAAGACTATGAAAAATACGCAACTAGAAAGACTACAAATCCCAGAGTCACGTAAGTGATGTCATAACTGATGTCACAATTGTTTTCCTCCGCTAAATATAAGAGATAGCTAAGATAAGATAACTTTAACAAGATGCCTGTGTGCTTAATACCAGGCTGTAATCATACCAGCAATGGGTCTTGCTCGTTATTTCGCTTCCCGTCTGATGAAAGGACCAGGAGTGGCTGGATCAAGTTAGCTTCCTAGCTAGTTGCAAGCACGTTAGTTAGCATTACAGCCTTAGCCTTGTCATTTTTATTAGCCTTAACATGAAGTAACATTAAATAACCCAAAATGTTAAACAGTAAGAGTAGTAGTCATATTTCGTGAACCCTTTGAAGAGTACTGTCACCGGTGTGATCATTCTATAATACACCATTTAAGCCCGGGGGAGAAATGCTAACGCTACATTAGCATCGGCGATCTTTTCTACTTCATGCTATCTGCACAAATGGTTGACATTAAACATTAAAAAGATCAGGCAGGCAGGCAGGCAGGCAGGCAGGCAGGCAGGCAGGCAGGCAGGCAGGCAGGCAGGCAGCTTTGCATGACATTATTCTGGACGTGTTTCATTGTGTTTATAGTGAGGGTAGTCAATCCCTTGTTTAGCAAGACAGTAGTGACGACCATCTTGGTGACGTGTGTTGT